CAAAGCATTCATACCTTTTACCATCAAATGCTCTTTTGTATTTTGTAAAAATAAAAGTGGCTCAAGCCTGTAATCCTAGCACTTTGGGAGGCTGAGGCGGGTGAATCACCTGAGGTCAGGAGTTCGAGACCAGTCTGACCAACATGGTGAAACCCCTCTACTAAAAACACAAAAGTTAGTTGGGCGTGGTAGCAGGCGCCTGCAATCCCAGCTACTCGAGAGGCTGAGGCAGGAGAACCGCTTGAACCTGGGAGGCGGAGGTTGCAGTGAGCCGAGATCGCGCCACTGTACTCCAGCCTGGGCGACAGGGCAAGGCTCTGTCTCAGAAAACAAAACAGAACAAAACAAACAAACAAAAAAAACCCAGAGCTGGCTGGGTTGGGGGCAGGGTGGGGAGAAAGAAAACGAAATCCGTTTGTTGGCTTCCCAGAGCCAAGGAGGTTTCTCCACTTTCAAGGTCTCCAGGTCCATCCCCGCCCGGAGCCCCCAGCATAGCCCCTCTAGAAGCCTGGAAGGACTCTGTGTTGGGAATGGGGGCGGCTACTCTTGGCCGCCGCGGAGGTCCGCGTCCTGTTCGCCGGGGAGGTTTACTCCCCTACCGCGAGTGACCGCGGCGCTGAGGGCTCTGCTGGTTTCGCTCAGCGGGGGGCAAGGCACGCTCGCTCTGCCCACCCTTCCCGGTTCTCTCAGTCTCGGCCTTGGGGAGGCCCCTTCGCCTCCAGTCCCTCAGCCGACCTTCTGCCGCTCCCCGCGCCCTCCAGGGAGGACCCCGCTGTCACTGGCGATGCTCCGAAGACCCGGGATCTGGGCGAGGAAGGCGGTGGCAACCTTTTTCCAGCTGGGGTGAGTCATTTCCTGCAGCAGGCTCCCTCCCCCGGAAGTGGGGCCCTGATGTAAACACCCGAGTCGGGCGCCAAGGCCCGGGAGGTCAGAAAACCGGGCCGCGGGCGGCACCGACAGCTGGGGCCCGGGTCAGGGACAAAACGGAGGTCAGGACGGTGAAGACGGCAGGAAGCTGGAGCACGATCCCAGGGTTGGTTGAGGTCTGGGGGAGGCTGGCAGTCTTCCGAGTAGAGGTCTAAGGCAGAGGTCTTAAGTGGGTGCTGGCTTTGGGACGAGCATGCTGCTGGTCTTGGGAGAGGGGTGAGACATCCCGGACAGGGTTTGGGGTGGCTCGAGGGTTTGGAATGGAGGTGCAAAAAAGGGTCTTGAAAGGTGTAGCTGTCCAGAGAATAGCTCCAAGGCAGAGCTGTCCAAAGAATGTGCATGAGGCATTCCAGTAGAGTATGTAACCAAAAGAAAGGGAGGAGATTTGGGCTACTGGAGGTTGTGGAGGGAGTGTGTCTGGGCAGAGGTCTTGGGAGTTGAGGGTTTGAAGGGAAGTTGGGTACTGGGCAGGCATCTTAGGGGTTGAAGTTCTCCTAGGCAGGAGTTTTGGGTGCTTTGTTTTGGGCAAGGGTCTTGAAAGGGTAAGGGTGCCCTGGGGCAGGGTCTTGGATAGGGGTCTATTTCTAGAAGGGGAATCTTAGGGGGATGGGTGAGGTTCCTGGGGTTGGGTCCAGGCCAGGTTATGTTGAAGTCAAGGACAGCAGAACACAAGGAAGATGTCCCAGGGTGGAAAATTTAGAGTGCTAGGGGAATCCTAGGGTAGAGTCCCCAGGGCATAAGCAGACCTAGGGGAATGTCTAGGCTGGCCCTGATGGTAGTTACTAAGGCATGAGAAGGGGTCATCCCAAGTAGGCATGGGATCCTGAAGAGGTTTGGGGAAGCCAGTAAGGGGGAAAGGTGTGAGAGGACTCTGGGGTGGTGGAATAGGTTGGGGTAGAGCTAGAAAGGTATGAGAGAAGTTCCTGGGGATGGCAAACCAAGCATAGAAGTCTCAGGGCCAAGTCAGGGAGGTACAAGAAGTGGATGTCCTAGCCCACTTTTGTCTATTTATTGATAGGTAGAGTCTGGTGCTAGGTCAGGTGTGAAGATGAGAAATGGGTTTGGAGTGGTTCCAGGCCATGTCTGGCATTGGGGTCAAGATTGGCTTGGGGTGGGGAGGAGATACCACAGGGGCATCCTCTGTCACATTACTTCCTGACAAGTCAGTGAGGGCCAGCATGTAATGAGTAGGTGTGGGGTCCACGTCAGTGTAGTGCTGGAGCTGGCCAAATCTGAAAGAGGGAGGGTTCCTGGCCACACTGTCTGGGATCTTGGGAGCTTAGAGCAGAGAGCCTGGGACTCTCTCTGGTTTTTTGCTTTTTTTTTTTCCCAAGAGGGAGTCTCACTCTATCACCCAGGCAATGAGCGATGGCTCGACCTCAGCTCACTGTAACCTCTGCCTCCTGGATTCAAGCAATTCTCCAGCCTCAGCCTCCCAAGTAGCTGGGATTACAGGCATGCACCACCACAACGAGCTAATTTTTGTATTTTTAGTAGAGACAGGGTTTCACCACTTTGGCCAGGCGGGTCTCAAACTCCTGACCTCAGGTGATCCACCCGCCTCACCCTCCCAAAGTGCTGGGATTATAGGTGGGAGCCACCACGCCCAGCCTGGTTTTTTTGTTTGTTTTTTGTTTTAATCTTTTTTGCAGTCCCTCCAGTCAGTAGTTAGCAGAGTGGGAGGAGGAGGAAATCAGTTGGGGCAGAACTTGGAGGGGAGACTCCAGGACTCTTCTCCTCTTTATCCTGTTTGTGTCCAGGGGAACAATCCTGGACCATGACTCAACAGCCACTTCGAGGAGTGACCAGCCTGCGTTTCAACCAAGACCAAAGTGAGAGAGGCTTGGGCCTGTACCCTTGTGGGAGGGAGCGAGGGAAAGAGGGGTCAGAAGTGGGCCATGGGCCCCTAGCTTCCTACCTGGACATTCTTTAAGGCAGTCTGGATTCCTTCCATCCCCCAGGCTGTTTCTGCTGCGCCATGGAGACAGGTGTGCGCATCTACAACGTGGAGCCCTTGATGGAGAAGGGGCATCTGGGTGAGCTGTTAGCAGGGGAGGGGCAATGGGCAGAAGAGCTGGGCTGGGCATTGGCTCCCACCTCCACTGACACCCTGGTCCCTGTCCAGACCACGAGCAGGTGGGCAGCATGGGCTTGGTGGAGATGCTGCACCGCTCCAACCTTCTGGCCTTGGTGGGCGGTGGTAGTAGCCCCAAGTTCTCAGAGATCTCAGGTAAGTGCCCTCATCCTGCCCTTTGGCCCAGATTTCTCGGATTCCTGGCCTCCCACAGGCACCCCAAGGCACTGGCAGATGAAGACATCAGAGTACTTCAGAGTCACACAGTGAGGAGGCCTACAGCTTGGAAGTCATGGATCTTATAGCTTGAGAAGCTTGGTGCTTTGTTTTCATTTTAAGAACCCTGATTGAGTGCCTCCTGTGTGCCATGACCTAGAGCTCTTACTGTTAGCATGGGACTGCCCTAAGCACTTACATATATTAACTCATTTAATCCTCACAGTAACTCTATGGGATAAGAAGGATCATTATCCTCCTTTTTACCAATGAGGAAACTGAGGCCCAGTGCAGTTAAGTGACTCATCCAAGGTCACACAAGCAATAGGTTATCAAATCTTGGAGCCATTTTCCCAATACTCCCTTGGCTTGAGCCTCATGTGCTACCTTGCTTTAAGGGTTTTTTTTTTGTTGATACAACCTGGACAGGGCAGGAGTTGCCCTAGGTGAGTCATGGAGCCCTAGGATTCCTCATGGAAATCTCCAGGGTGCGTGAACTAGGACCCTGGAGGCAGAAATAGTTACCAAGGGGAAGTTATAGGCCTGAGTGTGAGTCCCTGTTTGGTTGCTGATGGGCTGTGAGGTCTTTGGCCAGACACTCAACCACTTTGAACCTCAGTTTCCTCATCTGTAGATGAATATAACAGTCTAGAATGCTTCTCTCAGGGATCATATCCACAAGTGCTCGTGCTGTGCGAGTATCTTACTGGGTGTTTAGTAAAAGGCTAAGCAAGTAGGTTGAGGTCCCTGGGAAGCAGGGGTGTATCCCGTGTCACCAGGGCTGCCCTTACCCTAAACCTTGGCCCCGACAACCCACCCACCTGCCCAGCAGTGCTGATCTGGGACGATGCCCGGGAGGGCAAGGACTCCAAGGAGAAGCTGGTGCTGGAGTTCACCTTCACCAAGCCAGTGCTTTCTGTGCGCATGCGCCATGACAAGTGAGCCTGAGGAGGACCGGGGTGGGAGGTAGGAGGTCCCCACAGCAGGTGAGAGGGTTAGTCCTCCCTGGGCATCCTGCCACCCCCTCACAGCCATCCTGTGTTGTGTGATACCCACAGGATCGTGATCGTGCTGAGGAACCGCATCTATGTGTACTCCTTCCCCGACAATCCCCGAAAGCTGTTTGAGTTTGATACCCGGGACAACCCCAAGGGTGAGAGGGCTCAGATACACAGGTGTGAGGGCATGAAACAGTGGATGGGGCAGAGGGGCAGAGATGAGGAAAGAAAGGAAGGGGCACACACACACACAGAAACGGGGAAAGGGGCAGGGAGATGCTCACATTCACAGCCTCTCCATCTTTTCAGCTCCCAGCCATTTCTCCCCACCTCTGGCCCTGCCCCACCCCTGGGTGCCCCAGTGGCAGAGCAGAAACAATTTGTGAGGACATGGGTGGGTGTGTCAGGGATCCGTGAGCCTCCTAGGGCTGTCATAACAGCTTACTAGATTCCACAGCTGCAGAGCAAGGAAGGGAATCTGCCTAGCTGGCGAGGTGTGCAGCTGAGCTGAGCCCCCTGAGGATTCTTTGGGTTCAGCTTATCATGGAGGGTTGAAATCTGGTCTTCATCCAGCTTTGTCCATTCTGAGATGCTGCCTCCTCTACAGCTGCCCACCCTTCTTCATCTTCACACCCTAGGGCTCTGTGACCTCTGCCCCAGCCTGGAGAAGCAACTGTTAGTCTTCCCGGGACACAAGTGCGGGAGTCTGCAACTTGTGGTGAGCCATCCAATCGACAAGGGTGGGTAGGTGGCTGTACTGGCTTTCCTTGTGGAATCAGCCCCTTCCCTCTATACCACCTCAACCCCAGACTCTCTCCTACTCCAGGACCTGTCGAGCACGAAGCCTGGCACTTCATCTGCTCCCTTTACCATCAATGCACATCAGAGTGACATAGCCTGTGTGTCTCTGAACCAGCCAGGCACGGTAGTGGCCTCAGCCTCCCAGAAGGGTACTCTTATTCGCCTCTTTGACACACAATCCAAGGAGAAACTGGTGGAGCTCCGCCGAGGGACTGACCCTGCCACCCTCTACTGGTGAGCACAGGGTATGCATGGTGGGCTGGTGAACCCACAACACCACATGACATGTGGGCATCACTGCTGATCTGTCTTCTAGCATTAACTTCAGCCACGACTCCTCCTTTCTCTGCGCTTCCAGTGATAAGGGCACCGTCCATATCTTTGCTCTCAAGGATACCCGCCTCAACCGCCGCTCCGCGTGAGTACCCCCTCCCCACCCTACTGTGTCCCTGTCCCCCTGCCCGTTTACCGTACCTTGGCTTAGCCAGTGCTGCCTGCAGGCTGGCTCGCGTGGGCAAGGTGGGGCCTATGATTGGGCAGTACGTGGACTCTCAGTGGAGCCTGGCGAGCTTCACTGTGCCTGCTGAGTCAGCCTGCATCTGCGCCTTCGGTCGCAATACTTCCAAGAACGTCAACTCTGTCATTGGTGAGTGGGAATAGCCCCTTGGTTGGGGGTACTGCATGGGGCAAAGGTTTGCAGGTTGGACCTGAAAGAATGTTAGGGCCATGTGAGGCTCAGCTTAATTATCAGTAAGGGGGACAGCACTAGGCAAAGGCTTGGAGGCAGATCCTAGGTCCTGAGATGCCTGAGAGGATTGGAGCCTGTGGCTGTGGCAGCCTCTGACCTTTTACCACCCCCCTCCCCCAGCCATCTGCGTAGATGGGACCTTCCACAAATATGTCTTCACTCCTGATGGAAACTGCAACAGAGAGGCTTTCGACGTGTACCTTGACATCTGTGATGATGATGACTTTTAAGGACTCTGGGGGCTGTGCTAGGGACCTACAGTGGCAGACTGCAGAGCTGAGCCTTGGCTGTGGGGCATGCTTGGACGCTACCAGCCAGCAAGCATTAATGGGGCCAGTGCCCACTTTCCACTCAGCAGAGCTATGTCTAAATAAAGAGCTCACTTCCCCCAGCACTTCTTGATCACTGTGTGCCCCAAGGGCCAAGCCAGGGACCCAGGAAGGCAGAGACCCCTTGGGATCCCTAACCTGGAAGAAATTGCCAGGGACCCAGAGGGAGTGGCCTAATCCAACCTGGGGATTTTTTATAAGCTTCCCAGGAAGAGATGATCTCTGATGTGATGAATACGAATAAAAGGCCCTTAATGGCATTTATGACTTCACCTTAGGGGCGGGGCATGGAGTTTCCAGGAGAAATGTGACCGTCTTGGACGCTGACAGGAAGGAGGTGGAATCCAACTCGGATCCTCGTGACAGTCCCTCCTTTCTTATCTGTCTGGCTACTTTGTGCTTGAGCCGCTGGCACCGCCCGGAGCAGCCCCTGCGGCGCCTCGCGCTGGGGTGGATAGCAGTTTTAAAGGTTGGGAACGTCCCGCCTCTTGGCCGAGGCTTGATTTCCCGGCAGCCTTTGCCGCTTTCCGGAGCGGCGTGTTAGTTGCTTTTCCGGTCACATGCATCGCCGCCCCTGCGCAATCCACCTACGTTAGGAAAGTAGCTGCCCAACCCAGACTCCATTTCCCGGTGTGCCCCGCGGTGGCGAGGGGCGTAACGGTTGTTGTAGTCCGGCCCCCTCCTGGCTGGTCCAGCCACATTAACCGGCAGGATGTCGGAGGTGCGGCTGCCACCGCTACGCGCCCTGGACGACTTTGTTCTGGGGTCGGCGCGCCTGGCGGCTCCGGATCCGTGCGACCCGCAGCGATGGTGCCACCGCGTCATCAACAACCTCCTCTACTACCAAACCAACTACCTTCTCTGCTTCGGCATCGGCCTCGCTCTCGCCGGGTGAGGGAGGGAAGGAGGCACCGGTTGGCTGGGGACTTCTGCAAGGCGTGGGGGGTAGACCCACGGATCTTTGAGGACCAGTACGGGGAACCTGAGGGGGATGCAAGGCCGGGAAGGGCGAATTCAGTAGAGATAGACGGCCTGAGGGGCTTGGAAGGGAGGCCTTGAAGGAGGTGGAGCATGGTTATAAGGAGGGCCTCAGGGAGATGGAGCCTGGCTGATGAGGAGGGCCTTCCAGGGATGGGGGTCTGAAGGGAAGACCTGGGGAGGATGGAGAAAAGTGTGGGACTGAAGGGGAAAGTGGGCTGGTAGGTGAACCTGAAGAAAAGGAGGGCCTGAAAGGGGGATATGAGAGTACTTTAGGGGCGTGTGTCGGGGGGTCGTAATGTGAATGATGGGGCCAAATTGAGGCCGACCCTGGAGTACTTAGGACAGAGACAGGGAAATGGACGGTAAAGTTGGAGGGTGTGGAAGATATACTTATTGAGGATTCGGTCTTGCAGTGGAGCCTGGCTATGATTGGAAGGTGCCAGGGGCAGGTACCTGTTGGGGAACTTGGGCCCAGGAGGAGGATCCATGGTTGGAAAGCCTGAGATCAGAGAGGAAGGGAGAATCTGAAGGAGGGACTTGAGCAGGGCTGGAAGTTCAGAGTGGGGCTGACGACCTGAAAGAGGTTCTAGCAATGATGGAGGGAGGAATCTATAGGGAAACAGCAGCCTGGAGGGGGCACTGGGAGGAGAGGAAGCCAGGAGGGGGATCCTATGAAGACCCTAGGCCTGGGGAGAGGGGAGTGTGTGGAGACAGAAGGCATGGAAGAAGGATCTGCAGGGGCTGGGGTCAAAGGGCAGGCTGGTGAGGGGCCCTATGGGGGTAGAGTCAACAACAGTAAAGTCCAGGGGAGTGTTGGGAGCCCAGAGGTGGGGGGAGCATCTAGCGGGATGGGAGGGCCTGAAGTGGGGACCTGAGGAAGACAGGACAATGAAATTGACAAGGAGGAAAGAAGGGGACCACAGGGATCTGTGAGTCGGGAGCCCTGGCGGATGGGCCTGCTGGAGACAGGGCTGGTGGGAGGATGTGCCGGGCTGGAGTGTCCGGAGACGGGAGACTCTGGCTCTTGGGGCCCAGGGTGGGTTTTGGTCCGGGAAACCGGGCGGCCTTCCCTCTGCCCGGCCGGCTAGCTTAGTTCTCTTGTATCCGCAGGTACGTGCGTCCGCTGCACACGCTCCTGAGCGCGCTGGTAGTGGCGGTGGCCCTTGGCGTGCTGGTGTGGGCAGCTGAGACCCGTGCAGCTGTGCGCCGCTGCCGCCGCAGCCACCCCGCCGCCTGCCTGGCCGCAGTGCTTGCCGTCGGCCTCCTGGTTCTCTGGGTCGTGGGCGGCGCTTGCACCTTCCTGCTCAGCATCGCCGGGCCGGTGCTTCGTGAGTCTTCACTACCCCGAGATAGCTGAGAAAGCGGCCAGAGCATGCTTAAGGCACCAGGCCAGCCCTGCTCCGGTCCCTGGGTTGAGGGGGGCTGGGAAACCCGGAGGGCCTGGCCACGCCCCCGTTAAAAGCGCCTTCCCGGACCTCATTCCCCCTTCTGGGAACGCCCCTTTTATTACTGCCTTTCCGATCTCTCTCCTGGTGTTAAATGCCTTCCACTGGCCACGTCCCCGTTACCGGGATCGCTCCCTGGCCATGCCTACGTTGCCAAGCCAATTAGTTGGCCACGCTTTCAGGATCTGAGGCATCCTGGCCGCTTACCACTCCATTGGCCTGCCTGCACGCCAATTCCCTTCGGTGGACCCCAGTTGGCTGCAGGCTAAGGTCTATTCCACTGACCCCTCCTCTTGGTGCCGCCCACAGTGATCCTGGTGCACGCCTCGTTGCGCCTGCGCAACCTTAAGAACAAGATTGAGAACAAGATCGAGAGCATTGGTCTCAAGCGGACGCCAATGGGCCTGCTACTAGAGGCGCTGGGACAAGAGCAGGAGGCTGGATCCTAGGCCCCTGTGATCTGTACCCAGGACCTGGAGAATACCACCCCAACCCCAGCCCATAATTGGGACCCAGAGCCCTTTGCCAGAACACAAAACAGGAGCCTAGAGCACACTGCCCAAACCAAACAGGACATATGTGACTGCTCTACCCCCATGCTGGCCCCAAAGTAGGATATCCCTCCCACCTAGCCCCCGTTACCCAAGGATAAGAATCTTCCCCAGCCCTGAACCTGGGACCCAGAGCCACCTACATCCAGCCCCAAAACTGGGGCTTGAGGCCAGAGCATCCATGGTCAATTTCAAATTGTGAACCCAGAGACACTCCCATCCACCTTTCTCCATGCTCAGCCCCAAACTGGGGCCTAGGGCAAGGCACTCTGAAATCTTGAACCCTGGACCAAAGCTTTTCCAGACCCCATCCTACCTTCCCACCCAGGTCAAGACATTGCCAAATCTTGAACTCAAAACCCAAGTGTTCCAGGCCCCCGTGTGGAGTCGGGTATCCTGACTGTTGGACCCCTGGTCCCAGGTGATCCCGACCCTCACCAGTCCCACTTGCCTCCCTCCAGCTCTGCTTAGGGATTTTTCCCCACATCCCAATGTTCCACACCATTGACAACCAAGGGGCGGGGTGGGGACAGGTCTCGGCAGGGAATGGGGCATATATGTTAGTGTTGCTGCAACAATAAAGGCTGTTGCATTCTCAAGCCAATTGGAGCCTCCTGTGTAAACCTGCATATTTCAAAGGACAGAAGTGGCCTTCTGCTTTTCAATTCTGCTAGACTCTTCCTGAATATGTGGGCTGAAGAGGTGATCTCTGAGGCCCTTCCTTGAACCTGTTACCTCTGGATCATCATTAAAGCACAGGGGAGGGCAGGTGCCGTGGCTCATGCCTGTAATTCCAACACTTTGGGAGGCTGAGATGGGAGGATCACTTGAGGCTAGGAGTTTTGAGACCAGCCTGGGCAATATAGCAAGGTTCTATCTATCTCTAAAAAGAAATTAAAACAGCTGGACATGGTGGTGTGCTTCTGTAGTTCCAGCTACTTGGGAGGGTGTGGCAGGAAGATGGCTAGAGCCCAAGAGGTAGAGGCTGCAGTAAGCTGTGATTGTGCCATTGCACTCCAACCTGGGTAACAGCAAGAACCTGTCTCAAAAAGCTAGGCATGGTAACTAATGCCTGTAATCCCAGCACTTCGGGAGGTTGAGGCAGGAGGACTGCTCAAGCCCAGGAGTCCAAGACTAACCTGGGCAATATAATGAGACCTCATCTCTACATTATTATTTTGAGATGGAGTCTCGCTCTGTCACCCAGGCTGGAGTGCAGGAGTGCAGTGGCACAGTCTCAGCTCACTGCATCCTCAGCCTCCAGAGTAGCTGGGACTACAGGTGCGTGCCACCATGCCTAATTTTTCGTATTTTTAGTAGAGACAGAGTTTCACCATGTTAGGCAGGATGATCTTGATCTCCTGACCTCATGATCTGCCCGCCTCAGGCTCCCAAAGTGTTAGGATTACAGGCGTGAGCCACTATGCCCGGCTTATAATTTTCTTTTTAATTAGTGGGTATAGTGGTGCACAACTGTAGTTGCAACTATTCAGGAGGCTGAGATGGGAAGATTCTTTGAGTCTGGGAGGTCAAGGCTGCAGTGAGCTGTTATCACCACCACTACATTTCAGCCTGGGCAACAGAATGAGACATTGTCTCAAAAAAAATAAAGATTAGGCTGGGCACAGTGGCTCACGCCTGTAATCCCAGCACTTTGGGAGACCAAGGTGGGTGAATCACAAGGTCAAGAGATCAACACCATCCTCGCCAACATGGTGAAACCCCATCTACTAAAAACACAAAAATGAGCTAAGTGTGGTGGCACGTGACGGTAGTCCCAGCTACTTGGGAGGCTGAAGCAGGTGAATTTGCTTGAACCAGGGAGTCAGAGTTGAAGTGAGCTGAGATTTTGCCACCACACTCCAGCCTGGCAACAGAGCAAGACTCAAGAAAGAAAGAGAGAGAAAAGGAGGCCGGGCGCGGTGGCTCAAGCCTGTAATCCCAGCACTTTGGGAGGCCGAGGCGGGTGGATCACAAGGTCAAGAGATCGAGACCATCCAGGTCAACATGGTGAAACCCC